AGATTTGGAATTAATGCAGCGACGATAACTAAAAAAATCGAATGTGACAACTAGAATCCGAGTCCCGATTCGGATAGAAAAAGTTCAAAAATCTTATTTTTTCCTAATAATGTGACTCTCTGAATGTGTCGTATTCTTTGATCAGAATAATTTCTATGTTCTACTTACAAGTAATGAAAATAAGTCCAATACGAAAAGCATGTTCCCATTTTGTAACTATTTGTCCACTATATTTATAAAGAATTTTTCGACAAAGACGTGGCCAAAGAAGTGAAAATGGTACATAAAATTGTAAATTATATGTTAAAAATATAGCTACAGCATACATTATTTTAGTAAATTGATATAATCTAATTTATATAAAATCGATATATATATATATATATTCATTGATAAAAAAAAACTTTTACTTATTATCATTTGGTAAATTAAGAGTAATTGAACCAAGTGCTTTTGATCCATATCGAATATATCCAAAGAAGCCGACAATAAAATACATAATTGTAACAAGAAGTATACCTATATTAAGTATTCCAGTCCAACCACCATATGATTCAGGTTCTTTCATTTTTTGTCGAATTGGTAAAACCTAAATTAAATACCGATTTCTTTTTTTTTGTTTTTGAAATTCTTATATATTCAATACTTACTAAAGCAATACCTTCGAATACATACATTGCAGATGCAAAAAATACTGGCCAATCTGATGCTGATGTAATCAGAGGTAATTGATTAAGTGGTATATGATCTTGAACAATATATTGCATTATTATAAACAATCCTATATAGGAAATCTGCATTAATTAATTCGATTGTAATTTTTCATTACCTCCAATAGTCATTATATTAGCAGCAAGTGAAAATGGTGCAAGAACTTTAAGACTTCGAATCATAGAAAAACCGATAACCAAGATAAACATTATAAATTGATAGATTTGAATCGGTGGACTATATTGAAAATAATGATCGACAACCTAGTTTAAACCAAAAAATAATAATAATCTGAGAATTATAGTTCTTCGGTCTTAAATTCAGATTGAAAGGATCAAATGGTATATAAGAAATCAAGTTTCATGAAAATTTTGATATGCCAAAAGGTTGATGGAATGGTGATAATCCATGAAGAATGTATATTATGGTCTCTACGATAAACTTTTGCAAGCTTTGTTTTTAAACTCATTCCGATATAATTATATTGTCGATTTTCTTAGTTCTCAGTCATTTCTTGATTATATGGATATTCCAAATGTATTCAACTCTGTGCTACAGAACAAGTGATTATTCATGTAAAACTTTTCCAAAATACTGCATACTGTTCATCTCTGTGTTTCACAGATAAGATCATTCAAAACAGCAAGGGCTCATTGTCCACTGGAATAGCCTATTTTCCTAGATGAAAACAGTATCTCAGATAAATTGATATAAATAGTTCCTTTATAAATAGAAAATTCTTGTTTTTTTGAACCTCCGGATCCCTGGAGAGCCGTATGGAGGATATGGAAAAAATTCATTTTTCAAATGAACCTAAGAAATTTATAAATTCTTCTAGAATTTCATGCATGAATCCAATCTGGATAGTCGGAATAAAAATAACAGACTTTCTTCATGTAAACATATTCCTGTGCCTTCTCTCAGAGATCCGAAGGCTAAAAATGATTAATAGAATCGTTGAGTATTGTTAAACATAAAACTCGTTACATGTGGAATGATTTTATTGTTATTCTTTTCTATGCAATAAAACATATTTGACTATGATCATATAAAGGTCACGACCCACTACTATTAACAGATGGAATTGATAACTCATGTTATGTATACATGACACTTGTCTTATCTTAAGTTTTTTGTTTATGTCAGTGTGATGTAGTTCTTATATTTTTCTTAATCAAATATTTACTTCTACATAGGTAGTTATCGTTTGTTAATAGTGACTTTAATTAATTGTTCTTATTCGAATTGAGATTGACTTACAAATTATATGTTCACTAGCGGTATTACGTGAGATGATCAGAACAATAAGTATAATTAATTATACATGTTGAAGCAACTTATTAACGATAATTCTTTGTCAAAAGAAAAAGATACATCATATTAAGAATACAAAGAATAAGATATTGATATCCAATATAGGCGATGACAATAACATTGAATAACCTTTATTAAGGACATTTCTCTTTCCTGACTGTCTAAAGAACTATAATGATTGTTGCAACTTAAATTATCCGTTCCAGAAATCAAAACATTCAGTTGTTTTTTTTGAATAACTTTTGATAAGAACAAAATAGAGATTTGCGGTTTTGACCATTTGATATCCAACACCCAAGAGCATATTTTCATAAGCAAAATTTTTTCTGAGAAAAATTCTGAAGGTCGATTTTTCCGAGGATCTCTGGAAAACCACGCTGAGTTCCTATAAACTGTCATAGAAGTCTATTAATTTTTTTTACATATTCGGCATCAGCATTGAAAACTGCATCGACTTATATATGTTTTGAGTCTTTTAACGAGCTGTTCTTTTTTTTTTTGTCGAAAAATTCACTCCCTAGGTACCCTAATGACAACGTCAGAAAGTGAGTTGGACAGTGGAAAGCAAGTTCAAAGGTCGTAAAAACCTAGTAGGACACAAAATGCCAAATGGTTAAACAATAGAAACGGTCCTTTGATTAAATTCACTTTTTGACGTTGTCCTGAGGATACCTAGGAGATGAATTTTTCAACAAAAAAAAAAAAAAAAACAGTTCGTTAAAAGATTCGAAACATATATAAGTCGACGCAGTTTTCGATGTTGATTCCGAATATGTAAAAAAAAATCAATAGACTTCTATGACAGTTTTCAAAAACTCAGCATGATCCCTCAGAAAAAATTTTGCTTATGAAAATATGCTCTTGGATATCAAACGGTGGAAACCGCAGATTTCTATTTTGTTCTTATCAAAAATTATTCAAAAAATAATTGAATGCCTTTACTTCTGAAACGGATAATAATATCTATCAATGTTATTATCCTGTTGGATCATCATACATGAGAATCGAAAAACTAACAGATCTTATAAGTCGTTCCTTCGTTTTCTCTTTATTTTGATTATTGAATATTTTTCAAACAAGCTTAAAAAAACAACTAAGTTTAAAATAATGTATTGATCGCAAAACAGAAAAGAAGAAATGTGAATAGACTGTTTAAACATCATTCATGTAAAAAAGATATAATAATAATAATAATAATAACAAAAAAAAATGACTCTAAAGAAAAGAAAAGTGACATATGTTATGAATTTCTCATCGTTCTAATCGCATTAACCTTGTCAAAAAAAAAATGAATAGCGCTTATTTTTGTTTCTCATGATTATTATCAAAAATATTCATACATTTTAACTAACATTGACTTTTGCATATCTATACATAGAAAATATTTATATAGATTTTTAACAATGATAAATAAGAAAAGACATATTGACTTTTTTTTTCTATAATATTGAGTTTATTATTGAAAATTATTGTTCATAAATGATACTTAACCATTCAGATAATCAACTATTTTTGTTGAATTACTTCAATGGTTAATTATCAATTATTGAAAAGTTGATAAAACATGTCAAAAATATATCATCCTTACTTTAATGAATTGAATCGCTCAATAGACTTTTACAAGACTACAATTAAAGCTTCATATCAACATTTATTACTTGTTTGATGCTAGCTGGTACAAATACAAAATAGACGCAACAAAAGCCAAGTTGTGTTATTACAATAAATCCATCAATAACAAATCTTATTAGAAAAAAAGAAAATATATATATATACATACATATTTGTTTACAAAATATTTATATTTTTTACTTTCCCAATTTTGCAGAACGATGAATCCATTTCCAACGACATGTTGCTAATGTATATCGCATAATATCTCCAAAATCACATTTTTCTCGTGATGTACTTAAAGAAAATTTTTTTTTATCGATTGATAATTTATATAAATTTTTGTTAATACATACATATATCGATAATAATCATGACATCGAAGAAGTTGATGCATACAATAAAGTGTCATTGCACCCATTATCCAAAAAGCAATAGGACCAAACTAAAATAATAATTAAATGAAAAATAAATAAATAAATAAATAAAATTTAGTTACCAATATTCCAGCTTTTGATAATGCATAAGGAAAAGCAAGAATACCGGCACCAATATTGCCTTTAATTAAATGCATTAATGTTTCTAAATTTCTAAATAAGAAAATAATCTTCAAAATTATAAAGAACAATAAGATGATATTTACGTTGTTTTATAATCAGTTTGATCTCCAGCAATTGAAGAAACCAATGGTGCAACCTAAATTATTTCAATTGACTCTATCAATACATAAATAAACTAAATAATCTCGTTTTTTTCATCTCAAATTAAAACTATTATTTCAATGACAAAAAAAAAAAAACTTTCATACAGCTTCATTTTCATTATTTTCATCAACATGTGATATCATTGAAGTTGTTTCATCATCAGTCTTAAATAGAAGAGGACGATCAGGATATTCAGACATTGATGTTGATGCTGGAATAACCGATGATTCGGAGAATGTTTCTGATTGACTATGAGTTAGTGAAGTTGACATTTTACTACTTATTTCAATTTCTAAAATAAAAAGAAAAAAAATAATAATTTTTGGAAAAAAAAAGGCTTAGCAAATGTTTGTTTCTGAATAATCATTTCGTTTTCTTTTTTCAAATTGATAAAAAATTCTATACAATATAATACATCGCAGATAACTCCAAGTATTATTGATTACACAACAACTTGCCTTTTAGTTAACAAAAAAAAATTTTTACTGTATAAAATTTAAATAAATCGTGCACGATGATTTCTATAAACTTAAAGAAAATACAAATTCTTTCGTTTTGTACTAATTAATTGATGAAAAACATAGACATTCATTCATCGAAAAAATTCACCAATAAAAAATCATTATCAATCCTCCTGTCAAATCAATATTTAACATTGATAGTAGCACACTCTCACAATTGCACTAATGATTCTTTTTTTTTTTTTCTGTAAATGGTTGATGATGATGTTTATTGTTTTTTTTTTTTCTACCTTTCCTTTTAAACGAGCAAGGAAAAAAATAAGAAAATCATCCATCCTTATAATTATTCTGATTCTATATTTACCTTTGATCTCATATTATTGTATAAATTATTGAAAGGTAAATATTTAATTTATTTCAATCATCATGCCTAAAAAACCTTTGGATGCTAATAAACCTCGTGGACCAGTAACAGCTTATGCATTATTTGTTCGTACATGTCGTGATGAATTACGTCGTAAATATCCTCAATTAACAGTTGATTATAATGTTATTGCAAAAAAATGTTCAGAACGTTGGAAAGTTATGAATGATATTGAAAAAAAACGTTTTAATGATACAGCTGATTTACAACGTAAACGATATAAAGAAGAAATGGCAACATATTTACAAGAACAATCAGCTAAACAGCAACAACAACAACAGCAACAACAACAACAATCTGCAACATCATCAATATTACTTCAAACACCATCAACACAATATCTTGTTGAACCACAACAACATACATTAATTATACCAACACAAACAACACAACAAACAGCAACAACAACAATTGTTACTGTACCAAAAAAACCAGCAAAAAAACGTGAAAGAAAACCAAAAGATCCACATGCACCTAAAAAACCATTATCAGCATATTTTCTTTTTTGTGCTGATGAACGACCAAAAGTTCATGGTTCACAAACAGGTAAAGAAAAACAGATTTTTAATTCAATAAGATCTTTTAATTTTATTATGCGTGTTCTTTTTTTACTTTTTTTAAATTCTCTATACGAAGATAAAATCTTGAAATTTCAATTGAATAATCCTCTTTATAATATAAAGCTAAAATGGATTAGTTCTTATCGAATAAGAGGAGTTTTTTTTTTATTAAGTATAATATTGAATATACAAGATCAAAGAAAATTTTTTAATTAATAACTCTTATGTTCAACAACGTACTTAGAAGGTCAATCTTTTCTTTCTTCAGTTTTATATCTTCTCATTCTGATTATATAATCTATAATTATATTACAGTTCAAATATATGTAATATAATTTGAATAAATTAATTTAGGATTTTGTTTTGTTTTGTTTTGATTGAAAGAATAAAGCTGAAAAAAAATTTGTTAGAAAGTTGTTTATGGCAATATTTTTGATGAATTTGTAAAAACAACCTTGTCACATTTACTTTATTATATTTCAAGTTAAATAATAATATATGATGAATAATATTTAAAGAAGCATAAAAGTCTATTTATTCCAAGAATGAAATCTATTTTTAGATAGTTAATAATAAATTTTAAACAAATTCATAAAAATTTACATTTTTATTTTGATCAATACTAACTTCAGTATGTAAATAATCTATCACAACATCTAACAGAAAAGTAAAAGAAAAGATGAAAATGTACTTGTTTGTCTCACTTATTAAATAATAACTCATAAATTAAATGAAATATTATTTTAATATTTTCATTGAAAAAAAAAGATTTTTATATTAATTAGTTAAAATATATTAAAACATTGTCTTACTGATTATATCATAATTGTTTTTTTTAAGTCAACATATTGAGCTCGATCTTTTTTCGCACTAATTATTTGTTTGTATAACAGATTGATGAATATAAAAGTCTTTTAGTAATAATATGTCCTTCAACTTAGAAGAAGAAATAGTAAAGAAAATAAAAATAGAATTTTTAATTGTCAATTTGAAAAAAAAATCTATTCTCAACTCATTTTTATCATCTAGCATATTGAAATAAATGTGTAGACATGGAAGCGTTTACATATCTATCACGTTAATGTAATAGCTCTCACAATAAATGGAGTTCATTTTCTTTCATTACAATAATAGTCTTAACTAAGACATAAATAGAAAAGATTAGCGGGGGCACTCTTAACAATGATGTCTACAAAAATTTTTTACCTTAATATAATGTCAAAAAAATCTACAATCATAAATATAGTCTTATTTAGTACGTATTTTTTCTTTTCATGAAATAGGTATGTAACGAAAACAATGGAGTCTTATTGTTATTATGTTTATATCTATATATGTATATAAATACGTGGTTTTTGATAAATAGGTATGTCAGTAAGTGATGTAGCAAGAGAACTTGGTATTCGATGGAAAAATGCACCAATTGAATTAAAAAATAAATATGAACAAGCAGCATCAGAAAAAAAACATGTTTATCAAGCAGAAATGGCTATATATAAACATCAAACATCAACTAGTACATCACCTCCTGAAACTCCTCAAACACCATTAACACCACATGATTATCAACCAATATTTTCTTCATCTTCTATTCAACAACAACAACATTCACAATTGCAACATATACTTCAACAACAGCAACAACAACATCAACAAAATTTTAATTCATATGATAATGGTGATACTACTGAACATCCAACTGAATTTGATATGATAACAGGTGGACATTCAGTTGGTGATAATGATGTTTAATTCTATTAACATGAAATATAAATTAAACTATTTATATTTTTTTTTTCTTTGTTTGATTGTTTGTACGTGATTAACGTGTGTCTCTATTTTTCATTCAGATATCTGTTCTGGTGCTTGTGCATATTTAAGAAGCACGAAAACGAGAAAAAAAACTAATACACACGTCAGAATAGATGAGATTAAATGTATTTTTTCTTTTTGTCCTTTTGTCCGTTCTAGAACATTATGAAAGATGTCTTCGTCAACAGATCATCAACAAGGAAATCATATTCTTCAACCATCGTATATTATGGATGGTACAACATCATTAAATGGTACAAATGAAACATTACCATTATGTAATATTAAAATTATTTGTATACAAAAAAAAAAGGTTTGTATGTTTTTTGTTTATCGGTTTATTTGGTAAAATGAATAATATTTGATAATTATTCCGACAAAAGAAAGATAATATATATATATATATATATATTGATTTGATTAGTGAAATTATTCACGGTTGAATTATTCAACCAAGGAAAAATAAAAAAATAGCTTATATAATTAATCGCAAAAAGAGAAAAAAGAATCTGAATAAACATATTGATGGATTAAATTTTTTGCTTTTGTATATATGACATTTTTTTACAATTTTTATGTATGAAACATTATCGAATGATTGTATAATTAATCATAATGATCAAATCAAATAAGATAATTTCTTATTTATTTTTCATTCTTTATATTCTAACAATCATTCAGTAGAATTGATGGGAAATAAATTAAACAAATGTTAATTATGACATTGATATAATTAAATTTCAATAAAATCATTTCATTATGAAAATGGTAAATAAGTTAAAAATAACTTATTTCTATTGCATGACATTAAAATTTGATAATTTCTTTTTTACGACTTTTCATTGTGTAAATCTACTTGTCATGAATTATTATTGCAAAAAAAAACAAAATTAGTGATTTCAGAGAATGATTTGTAAAGATGAATTGAAATTTTCATATATTCAGAATTGTTAGTTTTTATAATACGAAATCAGCCATTTCTATTTGTAAAGACCTTATCTCGAATTCTTTTTTTTGACTAGCTATTAATTTTTAACATGGAGATCATATTATCTTACGGATTCATATAGAAAATAAAATAATTCGAGAAAAAAACTATTTTTCATATTACTCAGTAACAGAATTACCAGGTCTGGAGTACAATACGTTGAAAGTGGTGCTATCTTCGATGAATTGTACCCTAGAGTTGGCATTCCAGTCACTACGAATGGATTAAAAATGACTAAAATTGTCATGAAAAATGCTGCTTTCACATCTGTAATCAAGAAATTTTCCCAAAAAAAAAACTATTCTGAAAATAAATATATCAACTAGAAACCTGGAAAGTGACGTTCTTTTTTAATTTCGACAATTTTTTTCCCGTAAATTAGCGACATCTTACGTGTCCGGTGATGCTACGTCGTAGAAGTTTTTTTTCTTCTATTTCATGTTATTTAGCTCTTGAATTCAGAGTTTTCATTTGCTGAACATTACTATTATAAAAAATAAATGCTACATAAGAAAAGAATGAAATAGAGTTTTCAGTTTCTATTATTTATATAAACTCGGAGTCTCATACAGTACTCTAATATAAATGCAAAAAACACAAGACAGATTTTTTCATTGTCCTGAAAAGAAGTTTAATTCTTTTTGTGACCTTATAGCTTATTGGAGGTTTTACACAATATTCAGAAATCGTCTTGATCCGATACTTTTTATGAATAAGTTAATAACAGCCTCACAGGCAGGATCACCAGCTCAGACATACAATATGTTGAGAGTAGCGTCAAAATTAGCGCTACCTTTAATGAGTTGTACCTCATCCTAGTCGACTCTTACCAACGAAATTCTCCGAAGAGTCCCTTGAAAAATGCAAAATCCTCGGGGACTCCCTGTTGTGAGTCACCGGTGAGTTGTATATCACAGGAACTCACCGGGGAGTTCCTCTAAAATTTTCATAAATATGAACTTTTCAGAGGATTCTAATGGTGGCTTCCTGGAGAGTCCATAGGAAGTCTCTGAATCTTTTCTTAACTCCCGCAAGGACTCACAACAGAGATTCTCCGAGAATTTCGTTGGAGAGAATCGACTAGGGGTAGTCTTCAATCTGATATTTATATTTTTTTTAGAGAACTAAACGTCATATTTATTTAACATTTGTTGAAAGTTGTCCATTATCATCATCAAATGAACAGCCATGTGTAGAAATAATAGGTAAAACAAATGGTTCATCGATATTATTAAATGAATGTATATCATATGAATATTTTGATACAATTAAAAATGATTTTCAATCATTTATTTATATTTATTTTGAAAATTATACAATATCAATACATTTTTCTGATGAACATATTCATAAAAAACCTCTTATTATTAAACATTTTGAATATATGTATAAGAAAAATAATGAACAATCAAATGAAATTAATAAACAACAAATATCTCAAGAATTACCATGTTTATCAATAACTGAAAATATTTTACATACATTTGATATTAAATTAATTCCATATGGAACAATTATATCTCATAATCATATATTAATTGGTCATGCTCGTCTTTATTTTACTACAACAGATCTTTATATATCTTCAATTGATTGTGATCAAATTGATTTAAAAACAACAATTACAAATCAATGTCCATCAAAAGATAAACCTATTTTATGTATACCTTATTTTACAATAAAACATTATGGAAATCGTTCAAATATATTTCTTATTGAATTAGGTAAATCAAATTATGGTAATGGTGAAATACATATGAAATGTCTTTCATCATCATTAGCAAGTACAATACATTTATTAGCTAGTCCTGTTATTGAAGAACGACCATTAATACTTTCATCAGCATTTCAAAATCAATTATTAACACATAAAAGAATGGAAAAATCGAAAAATATTCATCCACCTATACAACTTAATCATGATACAGTAAATTCATCTATTGCTGATCGATCATTACCTTTTTCTAAAGAACTTTCAATTGAACGTTTATCAGAAAATTCAACGAAATCCAATCAAGTAAAATCACGTTCATTATTTAGTTGGGTTCGTAAATTAGTTAAAAATACTACACAATTACAACGATCATATCAATTTGATAGTAATCAAAATCATTTAAATCAACAATCAAAAATTTTATCATCATCAATGAATAAATTTTTTGAATTAAATATTGAAGAAAAACAAATTTCTCATGATCAACAACAGAATATTTTACCAAAATCTCAAAGTACAATTGATTCATTGGAATTAATTAAAAATAAAACTAATAAAATTTCTGTGATCTCATCTTCAAATAAACAAGAAACAACTAATGGAACATATATTGATATGGGTCCAACTATTTCAAAAATAGATTCAGATCAACAAGAAGAAATTCATGATGAAAAAAAAATAATAAAAGAAATAACAACATCTACAGATATTGGTATTAATAGTAAGTTAGAAGTATTTTTAAAAAGCTTACTATCGCAATAAACTTAAACGCTAGAATTTCTATGAGGAAATTTTGTTTTTTTTTTGTTGTGTTTAGCTACTATCAGTTTACCACCACATGTTCATTCAGCTATTATTGTTGGAAATTCAGTTCATTTGATTGCTGAAGGTAGAAGAAAATTTATAAATGAATTTAATTATTTGATTTGATTTTTCTTTCTAGAACGAGCTGTTTTTCCAATTGGTCAACGTTCCTTCACTTCTCCTGCTAGTGTTATGCAACCTTTCAAAGCACAATTACATGGACAAACAATTAATAATAATTATAGTAAATATTATTTATTAATAATCGAGTCTATCAATTTATTTAGAATTCAAATAAAAATATTAAAGAATAAATAGTTCTCTTAGTATTTTTGAAGTTTTATACAAAATACTAGATTTTAATAGTCTTATCCATTATAATCATGCAGTAAAATCAAGTGTAGAATTTAAAAAAAGTTTTGTCGACAGAATGATTTATTTCTTCTATCAATTCAAGCGAATTCAATGGCCGACAGGTCTTCGGAATAAACGCAAGAAAATGATCATTACATCATTTTTTTTTTTGTCCGGGTGATGTGTACGAGATCCAACACTATGCTACTCATATGCCCAGTTGTTTTCTAATCGGATTCTAAATCTATTAAAAGAATGTCATCGATGTATCTTTTAACATCTGTAGTTTCATCTTGCAAAATTACTGTTAACATTTGTCTTCATAGATCTATCTTCTCGGTCTCTTTCCTGTTTACAGTTCATACCTGATCGTTTCTAAGCATTGTATTACAAAATCCATCTAAATCAAAAAATTTCTCATTAGTAAAAAAGCTATCTTTTGGTATCATCTATGACGTAATTGTTTAATATCTAATTCGCAAACTTAATCTTCCTTTGTTCTGTGAAGATTGGTTATAGTTTTGATTGCTCAATTTCCTTTTATGGAAAACAACTAAGATCTTCCAGTAATATTCGTTATATACTCCTTGAAATTTCATATTTAATTTTTACAGCTATTTGCACATCTTTACTTTTTATCTTTTCTTAAATATGTCTGAAATAAAGAGAATAATATAGAAGAAAATTCAAAAATACTAAGAGAACAATTTATTATATGCCTGCCGTTAGTTGAGAGGAAACTATCGAATTATTACACTAAATAGGAGATTGATCTAAGGCAGAATTCTTCATACTGAAATCTATAGACCTCTAAAGGGTATCCAATCGGTTCTTTATTATCAGCTTTTGTTGTGTTAGTTAAATGATAAGTAATCAGAAGATGGCTTTGGTTGAAAAAGTTTGTCTGAAATAGTAAAGATTTAAATTAATGTATGTGTTAGAGTTATAGAAGAATGAATATAAACTCAATAATTCGACAACAGCAATCGAACGATGAGAACTTCGAATATCTTTTTGATCTGATAACATATAAAGCAAAATTATTTTAAAGTCGATCACAACACATTCAACGGTGTTTCGTTTCAAAGAAATATTGATAAAAAGTCGTAAAAATTACTAAAAATCAATAGAATTCTATATAATTTGACCGAACAGATATGTGATTGTGTTTGCTCGATAGCCTGTTGTATGAAATTTTGACTACAAATAGAGCTAGATAAGTCCTGATCTCAAGCAGCAATTCGAGGTCGATAGGCCTTAATCCAAAGGATTGCTTAATACTTTTCGGATTTTCTTATTAACCAATAAAGATTCATATGTTTATATTGTGTCACAGATAGGATATTTCAGTCGGTTGTAACGTTGACAGGCGGGGAAGCTTCCATTATTTGAACCGGCCTCAGCATGGATTTCTTCTTCATTGATGGCTACGATCGTGAACTTTTCAAAGAAAATTTAGTTAGAACAGGCTACTCATTGGAGACAAAATTCAAAGCAAATGATTACGATTAGCTGGAGATATCGATCACTGTTCAACAATTCTCATCAACTCTCAGTGAAGACTAACTAAAACTGTTTGACATGGAATTTTTATTTGTGACAAAGGCAGCATTGAATTATTGAATGAGGAGTCTGACGTCATGAGATTTGTTTTCTATGTCGAGATATCTTCATCTTAAGAAAAAAAAATCTATGTTGACATTTTAGCTTCTCTACCTGAAGGCCGATTAGTCCTTGCGATCAGACTTTAATACGCTCTATTTGTGGTCAAATTATAAGACTAAAGGATTTCGCTTTAGATACTTTTTACTTGGTAACAAGGCTTTTTGCAACCACTGTATCAAACGAAACGATATCTGGAATTTTTCTCTTTTGATTGCTGAATATTACAGGTCACTAGTTATTACTGTTGTTGAGATATTGACCTTACATCCAGTTCTCTTTAATTTTGGCACGGACATTAGTAAAACTAACAAAGGATCTTTCTTTCTATTGAAATTTAAATATTTCAAAACATTTATATTTCCACTAAATTTCAATAAAAAACAAATCTTTGGAGACTGTACTATTCCAAATTGAACTTTACTTATGAACGCAACATATGAGCTCAAAAATCTTAGAATCATCATTAAAAGTTCCCATACAACGCTCCAAATGTTCGACATTTCAGGCGAAAATCAACAAAATTTTGTCGACCAAAACTATTCTCTCATCTAACTAGTATGACAAAAGCTGATTACAAAAACATGGTTGAATAAATATGAATTTACACCAGAGATGTCCATCGCAGCTGAAAATCTACCGCATCGCTGCCCTATGAACATCTCTGAGTTACATATACGAAGGCACACTGAACTAGTAGATAATGCATCTTAAGTCTGTTCTTGTTAATCAAAACATCTGTAAATTAAACAAATTTTACATTTTTTAATTTTCTTTAGCAACTGAAACTAATTTGACATCATGTGTACCAAATAATTCAAGGTTAGTTAATAAATTCTAATTTGTTGTTATTGTTTTTTTTTTATTATTATTAATTAAATCCATAATTTTCTTATAGTTCAATTCATCAACCAACATCCAATTCCAATTCTCAACAATCATTATTTCTTTCTTATGGTATAGTAACATTAAATAAAATTCCATTAACATCTGATCAACCTGAACGTCCATCAAGTCCATTATCGGATATTTCAAGTATTGATCGTCGACTTAATTCTGATCTTAGTCTTATGTCAATATCTCATCAACAACAAGCATCAAATATTTATTCATATGATAATATATTATCATCATCATCAAGTTCACATATATTTCGTACATTATCACTTTCAACAAATAATATTGGTGATAATACATCTGGTCAAATATGTACATCAAATGGTAGTATTATATTTTTTGATGATAGTTTAACAGATCAAGCAACAACATATTTACTTGGTTCACCACCAATACCATTAACTGATGAACAAATTCAAACAAATTTATCACGTGTTTCATCATTTAATTTACCAACATCTATATCACGTACACATTTATCAAATATAAATGAAGAAAAACTTTCAACAAATGATTCATATGCATTTATTGAACCATTATCTATAAATGATAATTCATTACCTAATTTATTAACAATTCTTACAAAACCTTCATTAATATCAGAAAAAACAATTAATTATACTGATTTACTTTTACCATCATCAAATAATAATAATGATGATGAACAACAAAATATAAATTCAAATGATCAAAATAATGATCAATCGAATAATATAAATGAAGAAAAAACTGAACGATCATCAACTGTTATTTATACAGGTATTGATTTTCATCAAATTGAACGTCGTGATCGTATTGCTCAATTAGCAGCCACATCACATAGTGAAGATAAAACACCACCATTTGTTTTATAAAAAAAAAAAATTTTTTTTTTCTATTTATTTTGTTCTATGCAAGTTAATTTAATTTATATTTTATTTTTCTTTTCTTTTCTTTTCTTTTTTTTTTTTATTTCTCTTTTAATGTATTCAAGTCAAGTTTGTAAATAAAATTAAAGACATTTTTCTTTTGATTATGTCAATGGTGACATACAACCATACATATACACTTATAGACGTCTGCTGTTTTATACAAGAAATAGAATAATTTCATTTGAAAGAATCAAACAAGAATAGCAACACAAGCAACAAGTAGAAACATAAGAATTTATGGTAACTATATTGTGCGGTAGGAATATTAAACGAAAAGTACAATAGAAATATATTGTACTATATTTTATATCTATATTGAAATGGTAAAATTTTCTCTAAATAAAATACATATTACGAAATCAAAACTGTAGTGTTGGCAACATTACAGGATATCTCAAAAGTAAGGAAACACAGAAAAAAATTGAGTATCTCCATTACGCCTTGAGCAAGCGAGCTAATTTTTTTTATGAATGATAGAAGTATGTTCAAGCTTTATATCCACAAAGATATGCCTAACGAGACCCTTTGTAAAGTATCACTATTGATCTTAAGAAAAAAATTTTACTTTTTCACAGATAGAAAATAAAATAATATACTTAACAAAGGATCTTTCTAGGCATGCCTTTATGGATATAAAGCTTGAACATGCTTCCATCATTGATAAAAAAAAATTAGCTTGTTTGCTCAAGCCGCAATGAAGATATTCAATTTTTTCTGTGTTTTCTTACTTTTGCGACACCCTGTATTGTTTAAGGCCCCCCCACCACTCAAAAATCGATCTCAGCCCAAGAAAGTTCAAATGGGCTGAAACTTGGAGCATATGTTGGGGCTGAAGTGAGGAGGCTGTGATAAAATTTTCAGCTCGATACCCTAATGTTTGACAGAGATATGAAACAAACAAAGGCCAAAAATAGCTCATTTGGCAATCCATTTTTCTTTGTCCAGGCTCTTTCAATGTATTTAATTTTTCTTTGTTTGAAAGAGCATCTCAGGACGCAGTGCAGTACAGAGTCCTTTTTTTTAAATTCTTACTTTTTTAGCGAAAAAAGGGAATCACAAGTTCAATGACTCAAAAAACGCGCCAAAAATGGGTGTCTAATTACATATATGACTGTATATATAATAAAAAATAAAGCTTAATTAAAAAAAGGACTCTGTACTGCACTGCATCTTGACGTGCTCTTTCAAACAAAAAAAAATTAAAATATATTGAATGAGCCTGGACAGAGAAAAATGGATTGCGCGGTTCAGAAAGCCTAAACTGAGAAAAAACGAAAAACATTTTTCGTTTTTTTTAAAATAAGCATATTTTTCAAGAAGAGCTTAACAAAAATCATCGAAAACTTTGACCAAAAACGAGGTGCCGAAGAAAAACCAATATGATTTCTGAAAGAGCAGAAGACGGGCTATCTTCCGATGCATTTATCTCAATTTCGATAATTTTGACGAAAATTGATTTTTTTTGAGTGGGGGGGGGGGCTTTAATGGAAAAAACAAATACAATTACTGCTAAACATTATTATTCTAATCAGCTATATAAACTAAATGTGTTATACAACTATGATTATCTTATTAAAATGTATGAATCGAATAGATTCAGTTCGAGGTGCATTGACCGAAAAATGGTAAAACGTTTTTATTTTTCAAAGAAGCAAAACAAAATACTAAATTTTTGATTACTTATAGAATATTTACTATGTAAATTTGAATAAAAATCAAATAGAAATTTTTCGACGCATATATTGTAAAGTTTTGTTTTAATATATCATAATGTTTCTTTTGTAAAAATGAAAAAGAAAAAAAAATCTATAAAGAACAGCTATTCCTATTATAACCATATGATGACTTCTATTAACATTGTTTTATTATAGTGAGTTGTAAAAATAATTTTAAAACCATTTCGAACGGAAAAAATAATGTAAAATTTTGTAAGAAAATTTGAAGGTTAATTGAGCGATGGAGAAAAAGAAAGAAATTTAAATGCTTCAATAGTAAGTTCACTATATTCATGAAAAAAAAAAAAGTAATTTTAACTAGAAGCCATTTATGTGTATATATACACTTTTAACTATTAGAATGATTTGATTTTTCTTTTTTTTTAAGATTAGAAATTCTAAAAATGCATTTTCTCAAACTTCAAATTCAATATGGAGGTGATATAAATGAAACGATTTTACCGACTAATTCAAGTGATCCAACAGTTGAAGAACTTCAAAAACATATTGAAAAACAATTAAATATACCAACACATGTACAACGTATTATGTTTAAAGGACAAAATTTACATGAAAAACCCGAAGGTAAATTACGACGATATGGTATAACAAATGCAAGTCTTATTCGAGTTGTTGGTCGAAAACAACCAATACGACGTTAATTGACTGTTTTTATTTTATTTTTTTCATATGTATCGAAATTATTTAATAAAATATAAATAAATAATAATCCAAAGACCTTGATAAATGAAGAAATATAAATTAATTTTAAAGATGAATATTTTGTTTTTCTTTTAAATTAAACAATCAATATAGATTCTCTTAGGACATACGTTTTATTTAATAAAGTATGTAGTTTCTTTTGTTTTATTCTATACTTGATAATGAAATAAATATGTATGTCAAAACTTTTCGTCTCTATTAAAATCTCCAGTATTTATATATCAAGTCACATGCTTTCATTTACATTATTTACTAAATATTTTCATAATAGATAAGTTATGTTGTCTCTTGTATAGATGAAATAATCACAAGTGTTCTCATATTAATGATAAGAAAAAGTTTTTTTATTCATATTATCGTGCAAAAATGAGATAGATAAATTTAAACTATCATCTCTTTTCATTTTTTTATCATTCGATTCTTTTCTATCTTGTTGCAAACACCTGTATGATGTATCGGCATCTTGTAGTTTTCATAGCAAGTTTTGTTCTATTCAATATTAGTTGTACTTGGGCAGCTAATTGGGCAGTACTTGTTGCTGGTTCTAACGGTTGGTATAATTATCGACATCAAGCTGATGTTTGTCATGCTTATCAAATTTTACATAAAAATGGTATTCCTGATTCAAATATTATTGTTATGATGTATGATGATTTAGCTAAAAATATTGAGTATGTTGGAATAATTTTTGTTTTCGTTATCAATCGAAAAAATTTTTTTTTTTTTGTCGTTTTAAGAAATCCAACTAAAGGTATTGTTATCAATCATCCAAACGGAGGTGATGTTTATCATGGTGTACCTCATGATTATACTCATTTGGTATAATAAATTTATTGTTTATTTATTTTTTATACTATGATTTCATATTTGAATAGGAAGTAACACCAAAGAACTTTATGCATGTTTTACTTGGTAATAAAGAAGCTTTGAAAGGTGTTGGTAGTGGTAAAGTCTTAGAAAGGTAATTAAGAATTTATTGAATAAGTAGATCAATTTTCATATAAAGACAGCTACTCACGCAATCAGAGAAAAGTTGCAGGAAGGGCTCAGCTCTTTTGCCATGTCGATAGACAGGACGGAAATCCTCTGGAAACGCTGCTAGGATGAACTGAATCTCCTGTAGCTTTCGCCTCTACTAAAGATAATGCAGCATAGATTATGCATAAAAATAACTCATATTGTATTTTTGTTCGCGCTATCACCGGTTTGAATTACATAGGAATTATCTGACACGAAATACTATTTTTCTATTTTAAGTGGTCCTGATGATAATGTCTTCATTTATTTTACCGATCATGGTGCCGTTGGTAAGTTTAATTTTTTGTATTAATATTCCATTGAATATTCTTTTTTTCAGGTTTGGTTGCTTTTCCACATGGTGTTGTATGTATTTCGATGTCTTTGAAAAAATAAAGTTTTGATTATTATTTATAGCTTCATGCAAAAGAATTGAATGAAACAATAACTAAAATGTATACACAAAAGAAATATAAACAAGTCAGTAAAATTATTTTTTTTCTTCTTCTATTGTTTTTTGTTTTTAAATAAATTTTCTTGATTAAAGATGGTTATTTATATTGAAGCATGTGAATCAGGTTCAATGCTTGAAAATCTTCTACCAAATAATATAAATGTATATGCAACAACAGCATCAAATGCAGAAGAATCATCATATGCTTGTTATTATGATGAAAAACGACGAACATATTTAGGAGATGTTTATTCAGTTGTTTGGATGGAAGATTCTGATGTTGAACAAATTGAGCAAGAAACATTATATCAACAATATTTAGTTACACAAAAAAATACAAATACAAGTCATGTTATGCAATATGGTGATCTTGTAAGAGATAAACAATTTATTTTATTTTGTTGAAAACAAAAAAAATTGTTTTTTTTTTGTTTTTAGAATTTAGGTAAATCTCATAATGTTAGTGAATTTCAAGGTGCAATAAAACAATTATTCAAATCTAATCGTAATTTGATAAAGAAACATTATAATGCTGTACTTCGAGTAGGATAAAAAACAAAAAAACATTCTAAATTGATTCTAATTTCTTTTATATTGATTATTTTTAGCGTGATGCTGTTCCTACTCAAGATGTTCGTATTTCAATTGTTAGTCGTCGATTGGCTGCTGTAAAAGATAATTCCATCGAAAAACAGAAATTAGAACGTGAACTTGCTCAATTATATAAGGTATGTTTTAATAACTGATGAAAAGCAAAAATAATTTTTGCCTGTTCGTTCGAATAACACTCGTAATAAACATTCAGAATTTTCAGATTGATCTACCGAACTGTACTTAAATGTAGAAAAAAGAAGTTCTTCGATTTGAATACTTTCAGAAGGAATGCATACAAAGTAAAACATGAATAAAGCTTTAATTATATCCTTATATTCCTGAACTATAAAAAAAAAATGACTATTAGCGCAATTTCTGCTGGGTTAAAATATGAAACACATTGTTGCTAATCATATGGAAATGGGACACATTTCTTCATCATCCTTTACTTAATCCTCTAGAATTACAATAAGAGAAATACAGTTCATATATTCTAATGAAATCTTAATGTTACACGGTCTTCGATCATATATCAACGACAGTTGCTGAACAAGTGAAGGATCAAGATTTCAACTATGTATTAGCTACTCTCAGAAAAAACTCAACGTACAAGTTGCTGTATTTCTCATCGGAGAAGCAGCGAATCCACAAAAACATGTGACTAGACCCAACAAAAAATAAAAGGTTGAACCCGGACCTGTATCCGAAAAAAATAAAACTTTAGACTCGGGCCCGGGTCCAGATGCGAGCCTGTAAGGACCCACAGCTTCCTACTGTGGTGGTCTCTGGAGACTTCCTGTCATGCTCTTTGGAAACCGTCTGTCATGGTTAGAGGTGTAAGCCGTGCGGCTGAGCCGCCGCTGATTAACAGTAGATGCAATCACTGCTATAAATGGAAATCTGAATAAACAGATGATAGTTCATCCTCAATCGAAAACGAATTAGCATCTATAGTTTTACATGACGCACAGAACATATGATAAATCTTCTATTGGTAGTTCATCGAGTGATAGAAATTCAGCAAATCAAAACAACAAATTAGCATATTACCTCTCTGTTTTCTCTAAATCGTTAAACAATAAAAGATGCACAATAAAAATAAAATCTCCGACGTAACTCAAACTTAATGTTTTGTAGAGATCGTCTTCCAGTCTCTATCGCTAAAAGCTCAGGAGGGTAATTTTTTAGTATCTTGATATCTATCAATAAAGTTTATCTATCCTTAGGGTCGCTAGATCTCTTGACTTCGGACCATAATGACTAGTAATTGATTATTCCTATCTACATTACTTAAATGTAATATCATAATTATAATAACGTACGAGATACAATTATTTCATTTAGTTTTTTGAAACTATTAGTAATCAAATATTGAAATTAACAGGCATTTCTTATCATCTAATAAATTACTCCGTTTCGAAATTTTCACCCGCCGACGTCGATTGACTCGTTTCTAGAGAGCATCTGACACGGTCTGTGAGGATAGTTGCCAATTTCTATCCTATATACTTCAACATTTCTTTTAAGTTGCGTTTCACAAAATTGATTCTTTTGAGTAAAAGAATTTCAATGGACTAGATGTCACTGTTTGTTTTCATTTAGGATCGTGCAATAATAAAAACTCGTATTGAACAAATAGCTTCAACAGCATTATCAATAAATCGTGCTGATTATTTAGAAATTGTTATAGAAGAACATTTGAAATTAACTCGATATGATTGTTATCAATCTGTAATAGAATATATTCAAGAAAAATGTTTTGATCTACAAGTTTGTTATTTTAATTAATTTAAAATTTTTCTTTTTTTTGATTAATAATTTCATTTTAGAATGAATTTGTTCTTAATAAACTTTATATCATAGCTAATTTATGTGAAATTGGTTTATTTGATTTGACTATAAATCAAGCTGTTGATCAAGTTTGCAATGAACGACTTCATTTTGACTATTAATTTGTTCGACAAAAAGCATAATAATAAAAAAAACATTTGACTACCTATATGTTTTTTTTTACTCTTATTCTTTCCTCTTTTTTTTTCTTTTTGTTCTTTTTGTATTGTGATTCTTTACCTTTTATTCAAGTAAATATATTTAAACATGTTCACACAAACAACGCAATAATTGCAATTTTTTATTTTTCTATACATTTTAACTTATTGTTCGAACATTTATTTTAAATGGAAAGTGAATATAATAATCAATTACATTTTGAACAAAAAAATTATTTTCTTCGTTTTAAATTAAATGAAAATTTAAATGGAAAATTTTATCATATTAACAAACATATTCGTCATGCATTGGAATATTTTGTTGATGATTTAAAACATGATCAAAATACAACTATTGATCATTTTCTTAATCAACAATCTGTTAAGGAGATTTTTCTATGTATTGCACAATTATTATTATGTGAGGATGATCGGTTAGTAAATATATTTTGTTTTGAAAAAACAAAAAAAAATTGTTTTTTTTTATAAACATTTTAGTATTTGTGGTAATTGTGCTTATATCATAGGTAGTATAGTTGAAATGGAAAAAGGTTTGAAACAATTTTTATCTACATTTGCTGATGATTATATATCAACAATAGTTGATATTATACAAATATTATGTCAAATGTTAACACATTCAGATTCTGATTGTGTATTAAATGCAACAGGGACACTCGGTACTATAGTATGTAGGTTTCCCACTCTAAACTTGTGATAGTTTTTTTATCTCAAGTATTCATTCTGTTTTGTTTTTTATTTTCAATTTCTTTGAATTAAACTGATACTATCACAAGTGGTTTTATTTTTCTTTATTTAATTTTAACTTGAAAATAAAATTTATCATATTTTATATTTTAGTCTGGTTCAAAAGAAGGACGTAATTTAATTTTAAAACATATTTGTGTTACTCAGTTGATTTTTAATATATCAACATTATTAAATTCAACTAATTCATGGATTGCTAGTAATGCAGCATTAGTATTTGCAAGGTAAAGAAAATATAATATTGAAAAGAAGAAGTTTCTTATTATATTTCATCTAATAGATTAACTGTAGAAGAAGTTGGTTGTCAAATAATTTTAACACATAATAAACATAATGAAATATTAAATCAACTTTTATCTGCACTTGATGTTAATGATTCTAATCGTTCAACAAATATTGCATTTGCTATAGCACGTTTAATTGAAAGAGAAAGTGGTAAGAAAATTTTAATTAATGATTGTGGACAAAATAAATTTGTAAGTAAATATTTAATTTACATAGTGTGATTAAAAAGTTCCCAGAATTCGCTATATCTATTCAGAGAAACGACATTTCATCCATCTCTCTACAGTATATATTCGAGGTAGTTGTTGTGATATTCCATGGAAAGTTTCATCCTTTTAACTCGCTCTTGAGGTATCCTTTTGAAGTAAACAATAGGTATTGAATTGATCCCCTTGGTGATTGCGGGAATTTGACTAGTTTTTTGAACCCCAAAGAGTTGCACAAGCTACTAAGCAGTGAGCAGATTTCATCGGATACCATTAGTAGCTATCAGACTAAGATGTGCTATCGTAATATTGGATGAAAGTCATTATCGAAACTTAAGTCCGCAAGAGAAACGAAGTCTTCAAACGGCATTTATTGCTGACGATATCAAAAATGTCAACTTTTTAATGACATCCATATTATTATTCATCATATAGTGGTGTCTACAGTGGCTAGTAATACTATCATATTAATGATAAATACCTAGTTTCGCAAATAAAAAAAGTATCGTCATGGTCGTGTCCTATCAATTTTCATCATGGCTTTTTGTGCAACACATAAAATATCGTCATTATCTACTTCAACGTGAAAGAAATTTAAGCTAACGCTTGCTAAGCGTACTCACCTAGGACTAGACTTCTGGATTCTGAGTTGTTGAAATCTATCCAAGGTAGAATAGATAATCGCCAGCTACAACAATATAGCAAAGGTTATTACCAAGGGGGTCAATTCAATACCTATTGTTTACCTCAAGAGCGAGTTAAAAGGATGAAACTTTCCATGGAATATCACAACAACTACCTCAAATATATGCTGTAGAGAGATGGATGGAATGTCGTTTCTCTGAATAGATATAGAGAATTCCGGAAACTTTTTGATCACCCTAATGTCTATAAAAATTAATCTTTTCTTTTTTTTTTTCTAAAGTTTGAAGCATTATTAATAATGCTTGAAATAAATGAAGATAAAGGTATTAATAAAAATGCTTGTTATGCATTAAGTTGTTTATGTACAAGTCAATATGGTTTTCAATTATGTATACAATCAATAACATTATTTCATCGAATACTTATTGCTATTGAAACAATACTTTTATCAATGGAACATGAAACTGTTTGGTTTGCTTTAATGTAATTGAAATAGTTTGATTATGTTTTTTTTTTGTTTAAAATAAAAATGATTGTTCTTTTTTTTTTTGATTCAGGTGTCTTACAACAATTGCTAAACATATTGGTGCATATGAACATTTATGTTATTCAAAAAAATTATTAGGAATAATAAAACAAGTACAAGAAAAATGGATTGATTTTAAAGATATACAAGATGAATCGAAATTACTTTGGTTTATGTTACAAAAAAATATTAAACCAAATCGACCTAAAATTGATGGTTAAGAAAAATTTATGTTTTTTTTAATTTTTTTTTTTTGATGATTTAATTTTTTTTTTAGAATGTCGAGAAACTTCTGTTGATATTTCTTGGGATTCATATATATCAATTGACGATGAAAATAAAATACAATATCGTGTTATATTAGGTAAAATTTTAATTTTTTTTGGTCTTTCTATTCAAATATTTCAATTTGATTATTTAAAAGATGATGTTCCTATTATAAAAACAAATAAAACAAATTATTCTATAAATAATTTAAAATCGAATACAATTTATAATGTAAAAATTCAATATATAACAACACAAGGTGAAAGTATTCCTAGTGATCCAACTGTATTTCAGACGGATGATGAATGTAAGTTTAAATATATTAAATGAATATAAAAATAACCGTCCGACATCACATTATAACTATGAATAGGTCTTGCTAAGACTAAGAAAAGCTTAAGGGCACCCTCTTCTCTCTTTAGTTCTTGAGGAAGGTACAACTGATCCACATGAAATTTTAGAGTACCTAAAATAAGGAAACTTATGACGAGTTCGTTTACGACCACTGTCTAACTTTATCCGATCAAGCTGAAATTTTTTTTAGATTTGCCATAAAAATATTAGCTCGATCGAAAAAAGTTGGATGGGGATTCTAAACCAATCCGAAATGTTTCTTCTCATCCGTTATACTCTCTTCAAGAATCAGAAAAGACTAAAACAAAAAGGAAGGAATATCCTTAAAAGCATTCGGATCCATAGCCTACTGTTGAAGAATTATGATCGTTTTAATGAAGTTTCTACTAAAAGCAAGACATTGTCGAAAGATTCAAAAGAAAGAGTTTTCGAGTTGAAAATATGTCTGTAGGCACATTTGATAGCCCTGAAATTTTTGACAAAAACAAACCTGTCTTTCTTGAGATATTCACTTTCTAAGTGAACTCAATTGCTATGTTCTCCTACAGTAAACAACTTGTGTTTTTAGATATTGAATATCTCGAGAAAGATTGGTTCGTTTTTATTGAATCTTTCCGAACTATCAAACGTATCTTTCGAAAATGTCTTATTCTCAGTAAAAATTTCATTAAAACGACTATAAATCTTCAACAGTAAGCCATGATCATGAATCTTTATAAATTTTTCTTAGTCTTGTCGAGTGGTATCCGACAGTTGAAACCTTTTAATATCCTTTATCTGAATTGAAGCGGCAGAATATTTTTAAATGAGATGATGCTTACGAGGGAACATTCCTAGAGGTGTCTCGCTCCGATTTCGTTGGATAGAGGACCTCAAGTAGGTAAAAGAGTTCTGACCGACGGCTTTTTCTTCGGGAAGTTACGAGCAATTTTCTGATTTTCTAAGCTCCATCAAGGAAACTCATAGAGAACAGAAATTTGTTTTGCCGGTAGTCTTAAGGATCGTTTATATATTCTGAAAGTTTCACGATTCTATCACTCTCTTTTCTCGAGTTATAGAACATTGTTGAGAAAATTAGAAAATTGATCGTAACTCCCCGAAGAAAAAGCCGTCAGCCGGAACTCTTTTACCTATTCGAGATCCTCTATCGAACAAAATCGGAGCGAGACACCTAGGAATGTTTCCTCATTAGTAGAAGTTTGTTTATTATCCTAGACATAGTTTGCCCATGAAATATATTATACGAATTATGTTGATTCTCTTTAGTACCACCACCGGTCATTAATCTTCATGTTGTCCGTACAACAATGACAGCTGTTCGTATAGCTTGGGAATCACCTAATCTTAGTGCTTGTAATTCATTCAAAGGTTATCAAATATATTTAAGTAAGACAACTAACATCAGGTTTTTTCTTGTTGTGTATTTTCTATTAAAACTAAGAGAAAAATATTTAGATGATATTGAATATGAATTTACTGATCAATGTGAAATTACAATTAATTCATTGACAATTAATACAAAATATAAAATCGATGTATGTGCAGTAACTATGAAAGGAAAAGGATTATGTATTTCAATCAATGTAAAAACTGATGGTGTTGGTAATAATTTTAATATATATGAAAATAATTTCAAAAATATTTTTTTCAATTTTCAGGTGATTGTCTTCCAGAACCACCAACATTTTCAGTTATTGGTCGACGTGATTTACATATAAAATGGCAAACACCAGAATTTATATCTGGTCGATTATTTCGCTATGAACTTATTTGTAATGGTCGATGTATTTATTCTGGTATAGAACTCGAATATCATGCAACAAAACTTAAATCTAATACAGAATATATAATAGAACTTGTTGTAATTACTAATGAAGGTCGTTTTCGTAGTCGACCAGCAAAAATTCGAACATTAAAAGATGAATGTTTGTATTATATGGAAAGAATAATACGATATTTTTTTTTTGTTTTATTTATATAGTTCAAAGTACTGTTCGTCATTCACTTTATGAACGACCAACACAAAGTCCAATTAAATTTAAACGTGCAAATACAGTTGTTTCACGAAAACTCTCACCAAATATGGAACGACGTATAACAAAAGAAAGTAAATTTATTTGATCAGGAAATTTTTTTTTTCATTTTTCAAATTTTTTTTTTTGTTAGTGCCTGTTATAAATCAAAATGTACAAATTACTACTGTTCGTTCTGTACAATTGAAAGTAAAAAGAATCCTCTTCATTTATATATATATATATATCTTGTTGTTTTGTTTTAGTCAGACATTCCATCATATAGTCGAGCATTACCTGGTCTATGTCGAAATGTACAATCACGTCCTAGTCATAGTCGAGGTTTGTATCGATCTAAAACAGATTTATCTTTACAACAAATAACAGCAACTGTAATTGTTCCTACATTTGAAATTAATCATCATCCACAAAACAATTATTTAAAACGACCAAAATCCTATCGATATCCTTTAACTACAAAATCACTTGAACATTCACCATCAATTTCATTAAATGATTCAACATATGGTTTACGACGAATTAGTTGATTTCCTTTTTTCTTTTTTGATAAACGAAAACAAAAAATAATTTCTACCATTTATTTTGCTTATGATTTAATAGAATAAAACACACCTAAAAAAATGACTAGTCTAGAGTAATAATATCATTAAATAAGTATATTAATGTAATAAAATCTTTTTTGTGCAAAATCCATTCAACAAAAAAAAACCCAATAATATGGTAACCGGACTATTCGTCGCGAACGTGGGTACAGAGATATCTATCGCGGCTGAAAATCTGCCGCTGCCGCGATGATTCTCAAAAAAAATATTTCGCATTTCACTACTGCAATTGTATTAGACCAGAAATATTGGTACTAGTCCATCAGATTCATTCAGTCTCAGGGTGTTTCATTTGTAAACACTGAAATTTTATCAAATTTATGCAGTTTTTCAATGTCCTCGAAAAAAAAAAATGCTACCGCAATGTTTTTTTATAAAACCCTGTCGCTGCCCCACCGCCACGGGCATCTCTGTGAGGGTACACAAAAGGTCCTCACTCACATCAACGCTCATTAGATCCCCCAGACGAGCCATACATTAATACTCTCAATGAAATTTTCTAATCGAAATTGGATAGTCGCTTCGACAATACGAGATACTTTTTCCAGTTTTTTTTTGTATTCAGTGACTAAGACACCCCACATATTTCTCAGACGACTAGAGTCCATTGGGTCCAAAATCAACCGGACAGACTCTAAAATTCATACCTACGACGACTTATCTAATCATCGATATTTAATCAATGTTAATAATGAATTATTATGTTTTAGTAATCATCAAGAATAATTCTGCAGTCTTGTTTTAGATTCTTTAACGTTTAAGAAATTAAAATCATACAACAATATTTAATTATTATATATTTTTTAAGGAATTCATTAGTCCTCCGTACAAAAAATTATTTGTTTACAACATTTGATTGGAGAACTTGCAAATGAAAGTATACACTTATTGTTTTTGTAAATCTTCATTAGTTTTCATTTATTCAAATAGTATATAGACATTCATAGCTGATTTTGTTTATTAAATGGTCATATACTTGAAAAATCAGTTAGCATAAGCTCTACACGATTAAAATATGACAAGCGATGTAGCGATTGTTTTATTCTATGTATTTTGGGACACATTTCTTCGTCATTCTTTTATTTGATCCTTCAGAATGTGTCTCGGCTCGTAGGAGTACAGATTTTTAATCGGTATACTTCAACATTCCATTTGTTTCTGGTAGAACTTTCCCAGATAAATCACTGATTTTTTCTATTCTCTATAATTTATTGCAATCGATACTATTCTTTGGTCAATTGATGAAACTTGGAATATTTATTTTCGACATAATATTGATAAGAATTTATAAGGGCAATAATTAAATCAAAGTCAATTTGATAACTGAATAAAAAGATTTTTATATAAAAATTACCATAAAAAATTAAATAAATTTTTTAAATCGAAATAGTTAATATTTCAGCTGTTGACAACCGCGGATATATTCATTTCCATCATAGACATCTTTCAAATTCAGATTGAATTGAAATATCATCGATTATTTGCACAAATATTTTACGAATTTGAAGATTATATGGGAATTTTAAAAAAATCTTTTTAATAAAGCTAAAAATAAACTGTCTATACCTGAATTGATATTAGCAAAAACAATTGTGTTAGGACATCATGAAAAGTTATATAGGGTAAACGAACACTGAAGAAATCGATCATATTTTTATTCTATTATATGGATTGTTCAGTTCTGGCATACACATACACTATGATTATTGATAAGTGATGGATATAGCAGGCCTCGAAATTGGATAACTTTCTTATGGCCCGGCCTGGACCCAAAAGAAACTTTGTTTACAAAGATTTTTTTTTCTCTCAACAGACAGCTATTTCATTTTTTTCGGCTTTTATAAAAAGTGATGACCAAGGGGGAATAGCGTAGAGAACTTTCCCCGCATCCCTCCCTCCAGGGGTGGCCATATCTCAGAAAAAGAATAAAATCATCGGGCTGAGCGGTCCGACAAAATATTTCGTTGAGCCGAGTCGGACGGCCTGAGACACAGTCAATGTTGAAAAAATATTTCATTAAGAAATTCAACTCGAATATGATCAACGATATTATCATCTGATCATTATCATTCAATTATCGGTTTGTATAGTAAAACAAATAATTTCTATATTTCTATTTATTTTATTACTTTCAGTCTCATAATACAATAGTCAAATCTGACCATTGAATCCTCAACGTCACTTTTTGAAACTTAGCTAATTAAAAATATTCTATTCGAAAAATAAAGTTTTTTTTTTCTTTGTATATTGTTTATTTTTTATGGACGAAGCCATGGATATCTTTCAACTTTTGATGCATCCGGATATATGTAACTAAAAATTAAAAAAAAAAAGAAACTCTGTTTGTTTTAGTTAAGTTATCATACCTTTGAACATATTCAGTAGGAGGTGATTCAGGTGCAAGATGAGCTAATGGTCGTCCGGTTAAAGTATAATCAGGTTGTGCAATAGGCAGAGATGGAGAATAAGATGGTTTTGCTGGTTTTACAAAACGAACCGCAGATTCTGTTTTACCTATTCATATTATAAAACAAACGAAGAATGTTTTATCTTAATTAGCAAAAATTAAAATATCAACCTGGATAATTAATATCCATTCCTGCTTTACTCAAATGTGTATTATGATCATTAGCATAGACAAATGATTGTGATGTGATATTTTTTCTTGTATTCAAATGTTGAATTTCTATAAATAAATCATAAAATCTACGTAGAATTCACTTGTTGTTTTTGAAATTTAAAAAAAAAACATTCAACCTGTCGGTTGTGTAGTTCCTATAGAATCAAGAAATTTTTGATTATTATTTGATGATTGTTCAGAAGTAGTTATTGATAAATTATTATCTAAATAGAATATTATCTTTTTCAAAACAAATAGACTTTGTTTTTTTTTGTATTACGTCGAAAAGAATGAATCCAATCTTTCCAATCAGGTATTGATGATTGAGGTAATTTTCGATCAGCCCAAATCGTATGAACATTTATTGGTTGATTTCCATTACGTGTTAAATTATTTCGATAACCAACGTAACGATCAGTAACACCAAGATCATGTGCTAAATTATCTAATCGAGCATAAGAACCAGATGCATATGGATGGAGACTCTAGAAAAAATTAATTTTATTTAAACAAAAAAAAAACGATGAAGAATTAACTTGAAGATATTCAAGTAATGAATTACCTATAAAGGATAATTTTATATAGAAAAAAAGAAATCAGAATTGATTAAACTTACATGCCCAATTATGTATTTCACGTATTTGATTATGTTCTTTATTTTTAATCGTAACTGTATGAAGACGAGTATTCAATTGTTGACTAAGGTCATTTCCTTTTGAGATTAATTGTTTAATATCTATATTAAAAATAAAGTTTCTCAAAAATAGATTTGCTCTATGTACCCATTTTATTTGTTTCTAATTTTTTAGCCGAATTTTTTGAACCATGTTGAAGTTCATAATCAAGTTTAATATTATCCAATGCATTATTAATATGTTTTATATGATTAATTATTTCTGATGTATTATAATAACAATCTGATGTTAATATTTGTGAAAAATTTAATTGAAGATTTTTTATATCTTTTCCTAAGGTTTCATATGTATGTGAAAGAGACATGTTGTTTTGATTCAAAAAATAAAACAATAAAAAACAAAAAATGAAGAATGCCATTTACTTTTCTTTTATTGTCACTTGGCAACAGACTTTTCTTTTTTTTATATATATAAAGAAACAAAAAATGAAAACAGATAATACTATTTTTTTTATGTTTTTGTTGATGAAATAATTTGTAAGGTAATATGTCTCATATTAGTAAATTGTATTAATTGTTCAATTCGTCTATTCCAAGTTTGTTTTTTAATTGTTTTTTCAGGTGTAATAATTAATATTAATTCTTTTAAATGTATTAATAAATCAATTGCTTTTATCCATTGATAAATATTAATATAGACTAGATTTTTTAATGGATTACAACATTTAATTTTTAGTTTTTCTATATAAGGCATTGTTATTGTTATAAAATCGATTAAATTAATAAATAATTCTGGTAAATGATTAATTTGAAGAGAAAAATTTGAAAGAGATAATAATTTATTAGAATATTGATCTTGAATAATTTCATTGAATTTTAATTGATCACATTCAATATATAATGAATGTAAATAAGGAAGATAATAAAAAAGAGCAACAAGATTTTTCATAGAACAAAATTGATTTGAACCAAGTAAAGTCAAATATTTTATAGGACTTATTGATGAAATCAATGATTTAATAGGACATAAACCAATACCAAGATTTAGATAACATCTATGTAATTTTGGTAATGATAAAATTAATTTAATAAGTATATTCCATTTACTTGATATTAACAAACTTACATTTAAATATTCAAGATAAGGAGCATAAAAATTAATTAAATCAAGAATATCATTTGTAATATATAAACGACAGAGTGTTAAAGACTTAAGACAAGGAAAATGTAATCGTTTAACATTTTGAAATAAATTCATCTAAATCAAATATTTATCATTAAAATTTTGATCTTTTAATAACATGGATGTAACGGATGGGCCAGAAGAAATTGCCGGCTTTTGATAGGCCGTTTTCTCAAGTTAGACTGGATGAGAAAGTTTCGTTCTGATGTCAAAAGATAGAGAATTTTGTGTAGATTTTATTGATATGTTCTTTGCGAAATAAGTATTTGTCCTTCTCTTGTAGCATTAAAGGTATTCGATACCACAAAAACATCATTTGCTCAACATTTTACTGGAATAAAGGGTTAGTTTTCTTTGTTAAATGATTCTACGTACATATGCTATTCAAATGTGGTATCATAAAGTACGGAGGCTTATCTATTTTTAAGATCTAATACCAAATCTGGAGACAAAGTTTCATCATAAGAAAAGCCGCTTGCAAAAAATGCCTAATTGTCCAGTTTTGGTACCTTTTTATTGCTGGCGAAAGATCCCAGCCTCATCATTAGTTTAGAAAAGGAATTCAGCTCTTAATAATGAAGAGCATTTTGTAGAGCTTGAAATTCTACATCTTTTGATATAAAAAGAGTAGTTTTTATAAAACCGAGTTCGGAGAAAATTGGCAACGAACAGTACGATTCTGTTAACTCAAGGTATTTTCTTAATATTTTGTGGTTTTTGAAGCAGAAACAATTAGGCTTAAAAAAATAAAGACACCACTAGATACATCGAAAAATTCGGCATCGATTAGTAACAAGAAGAAATTTTTGAACTATAATCAACCGAGCAAAAATTTTAGTTTGAAAGTGTCTCATTTTGCAGTTGAGCAAATGCTGTTTTGGTGGTATCGAATACCTTTAATGCTACAAGAGAAGGACAAATACTTATTTCGCAAAGAACATATCAATAAAATCTACACAAAATTCTCTATCTTTTGACATCAGAACGAAACTTTCTCATCCAGTCTAACTTGAGAAAACGGCCTATCGAAAGTCGGCAATTTCTTCTGGCCCATCCGTTATATCGAAATATAAAAGAAATTTACTAATCGTTTTTGTATTTATTAGGGCTCAATCTCAGGTTCATCGAGACCAATCTCGAATTACAGATCAAGTATATTGCATTCTATGTGGAGATGCTTTATTGAGTCTAAAGAGAGTGTGGGACAGAGATGTTCATGGTGAGCGCTGCTGCGACTGTAACAGTGGCAACTTCTGTTTTCAGAGAGATTGTAGTTTGAATGATTTTGCATACTGTTTGAATGTTCACCTATCCAACGGTTAGAATCGTGGTGAATTTGATAAGTTTTAATCTAACTATACTAATTTAGCAAGTTACAGAAGAGATTTTTCGAAAACCATTACGACAGCGGTAGATTTCCAGCCGCAATGGACATCGATGGTGTAAAGTATGGGTACAGTGAAGAATTAAACCTACACTTTTGTGTTTAATTCGTTGGTTTTTTTATTGTGCTATCTGCTTAAATAAAATTTCATATATCATGGTTAACTTTTAACGATCCGAGATTGGTCTAGGAAACTAGGCGTATTATAAATTACTAATCTGAGAACAACCTAAAATTAATATCCGTCCAATGTCGAATTCGACGTTGAACGCTAATGTTTAATTTTCTTGGTATTAAATTTAATATTTGTATTTCATATAAAACTAACCTTATTAATATTTTCCAATCTTAAATTTGAAATAGATTCAAGATGTGGTAATTGTGATAAAATATATTCAAATAAATATTGACTATTTTCATCATTATTTTTTAAGTTAACATGATAATGATAATTAAGTAGAAATTGATTTATTCGTTGATTAAGATTATAAAATCCATTGAATTGTTCTTTAATATTTAAATAAGTGAATATATCTAACCATAATTCGGTTGGTAAATCTTCAATTATAGTTTTAATAAACATATTTAACTATGAATCAAACAATTTTTTTTTTGTTCGATTGTTTTATATATTCAACTTTTGTAGAAACAAAACTATGATGCAAGATAGTTGAATATAAGCACAAACAAAATGAGTCATTAGCTTGTTAAAATATTTTTTACACAGAAAGAAATAATATATGACAAATGATGATGAAATTACATATGGGTTTTTAATATTATTCTTTGCTTGATAGAACGAAAAACCTTAAAAGTTTGTTATAAATAGGCAATAAACTTGCGTGAATTTATCAGTCACTTTTTTATTTTTGCTTTTTAATGGTCAATAATGACTATAAATTAATTATTTTTATGGACAAAGTTTTATATATTATCAAAAGTAAGACTAACGGATGAAAGATCAAAGGATATCTAAAAAATCGCACCATCGAAAAACTTCTTTTAAAGACTATTGCATCACAAATTTTTCAATCGATTTCTATAATTACTATTTTATTTCATGAGATCAAAACACATCGTTTAAATATATATAGGCAACATCGAAATAAACAAGCATAAATATATAATAATAAAAAACAATAGTAATCATTTTCTACATGAAACAAACATATTATATCAGTTACGGATAATAAAGTATTAACATTGTTAAGAGCAGCTTATAAAATATCTTCTGTGTCATCTAGAACGTTAGCTAAAGAAGAAGAAGAAGAAACTTCGGTGTACATATATTATTCAAGTAGAATTATGTATTAGCTATATATAAACTAAGTAAATTTAATTTGACCACGAACGTTTAATAAAAAGCTATTAGCACAATCCCATAAAGGATAAGATGTAAAACACGATGTAGCTGCTGTTGCTAATCACATGGAGATTATTTTATTCTATATATTTTAAAGCATATTTTTTCACCATTCTTTTCTTAGACCATCGAGAAATATGGTAGGGAAGTAATTCGTATGTTATAAAGAGATGTTATTGCTGTACGATCTTTGATTATATATCAACAACGTCTATCACGATCTATGACATGGAGAAGGTGAGGAAGACTCTAAATTCCTGCTTCTATACTTCAGTAATATTCCTTTTAGATCATATTTCACAAAAACAAAACAGTTCGTGATAACATCAGCTGAAACACCATCTACTTCTGCCGTGAAAATATTGATCTTCAAATTGGCTATTATTCGATTACATAACTTTTGTCGTTGATATGAACACTGACAATACAGAATCTATGTGAGTATGTAAGACATGATTAAATTCATCATCGACCCACAATGCAGTGTTGACATACGGTATGTTTTATGTTGTATCTCAATGTTCATTCCCATCTACAGTTGTAAGAGTTCATAAGCATAATCTATTCACTCAATAATTCTTTTTGCTACCAGAAAGTTTGTATCTTTATATGTATTTATAAAAATATTGGCATCAAGAATGTACAGTGAAGGAGTGCAATGCAAAACTCAAACACATAGTGTTACAAAGGGATGTCAGTGGGTGTTGCTGTTGATGAATAGGGAATCTATGAACACATCTCGCTACAGCTACAGCCATACTTTTCTTTCTTTCATATCTCGTTGGATTTCAACTTTACGATTAGTAGCTTCTTGTTTAGACATGACCAATTCCATTGAATATGGACACATTCGTATGTACAAATGAAATCTTTTTTATAGAACGCGGACAAAGTTATGATTGATGCTTTAATTAGTAGAAAGTCAGAGCAAAATACCAAAGTTTTGTTTAACTATCACGAAACTTGTTCAATATCATATGACAACAACACAATATGCCAGTGACAATGTATTGAATAATTAGCATTGCAAAAGCGAATTGATATGTGCCTTTATCACAGTAATTTGACAATGATTTGTTATCGTGCTGTACAGATGTACTAATTCCGAACGTCCACACACTTCCAACAATAGTCCATGCGAAGGAGAACAACTGTAATATGATCATTGAGCAACTTAAAACTGAACTACATATAGGCGAGCTCTCATTCTTAGCCAATATGTAGATTCCGAAACCGAGTATAATAGCTACGATTGAGATAACACCATTAACAATGAGAAAGGTTGGGATGCGTGGTTGAATGGGGCAATTATTCACGTTTGAACCACCGACTGCTATCATGGCAATTGGAAAAGCAAACACGGTTATGACCATGAATGCTCCAAATCCAAAGGCGACGCATCCGGATATAGTTTTAATTGAGTTTAAATTTATCGAAGAGAATGGTCGCTGTGGTTGATAAACGGTTGGGTATGTACCTAGTTCAATTGAAGACGTGGATGCCCTGTATGAAGTCATGTTTATCTAAATGTAAAAGCAAATGGTACAGTAACTCGGCTGTTAATAATATATGTTCAATATTTTCTGTCTTGACAATACTTTTCATTAACCATGTAACTCAACACTGTACACTACAGTACATAAAAAAATCTCGTTTCCTCGTTGCACTGACGATGCCTAAAGATTGCCAACGTGCATCGATTCAGCATCACTTCATCTGAATTTCGACTGTTCTCTGTTTATTAAAAGTTGCAAAGAAAAAACTAAATGAAAGACGTCGACAGTATGGCATACATTATTTACTGATTGGTCGTGTTCTGCACGGATGAAAGTCGCTGCTCAAGTGTACTTTGTACAAATACAAATTCTTTTCTTCGTAAAATTCAAAGAATTGTTTCTACGGAGCAAACAAAAGTTGTTGGATTTGCGTCAATGAACAAAGACGTTTCCACAGTTTATTAAGATTTATATAATGAATAGATTTTTTAATTCAAAAGTGAATTGACATCTAGGAATGTTCTTTTCTAATTCTTTCACATGTTATTTTTCTCTGGATTTGGATATAAGATTCTATTGTTCGAAGTATTCATTCATCAATGTCAGAATTTTCCTGATTTATTTATTTTTTTTAATTTTCTTTTGGGATATGTGATTACACATGATTCTTATCGTTGTTTTATTTATTATAGAAAATGTACTTCAATGATTAGATCAACAACGATCGAGTGTGTGTGTATTAGTTGAAAGAATGAGTCAATAGAAGAAACTGCAGTGCCAAGTAATATAATAAATAACCACATATAAAAATGGACTTTGCTGAGTACAATTCAACGTTTTCATTATAAAAAGTACCAATTTAATAGAAAAATCAATAGACAATTAGTAAACAACAAGTAGGTCGTTACGGACCACACTCGATTTTTATGAAAAACAGATCACATGGGAAATGTCGCCAAGAATTAAAGTGATCTTTATGCACCTGTGTATTAAGCAGAAACTACTTAGTTATTAATACAAATGTTCACAACGCTTTTTATATCTGATAATAAAATACGTAACATCCAGTTTTTAAGAACTTCAGGGCCCAAAAAATTTTGAGTCATACGAAGTTCATTCTGCTTCCTCCTTCTCAGAAGATGTAGAATCTCATGAAACTTCACAATAGACATCTGACAAATACCACTTAATACATAAAACATTAAGTTTCTGTTTACTTTCTACAAAAAAAAAAAAATTTGTTTTAACAACTAAACTTTTCTTAATTTTTAAAGACGTTGTCAATTTGGTTATATTTGAAATAGATAAATCTGCAATCGTAAATAAACTTTCCGAACTTTATTTAATAAACGAACTACAAAATAGAGTAATAAATAGTCACTGGCATTGATATTGTCTATTTGGTAAGTTTGATCTTTATTCTCAAAATGTTATACATAAATTATCAATTCCAGTATCATAATATCCTGATCCGGATGGATTGAATACAACTTTTGTTATTCCGGACCAATTTAATTCGACTATTCTTTGTGTATATGTATTCAATGGCATTGAAGTTGTATAAATTTGTGTAGAAGAAAAATATCCGGTTATAGTTAAAATCAGTGAATTGGACCAGCCAGCAGCCGTTACAAATGAATTGATTGTAAATGTTCTATTAACTACCAATGTTTCTATTGTCATAGGATTATTAAACCAGCAGACATATTCACCAGAGACACAAACATATGGATAACCACTACCGGGAAGTCCGGTTGCATTTAACAAGTTTGCATTTGTCCAGCTGAGATTTTGATAAGTTGATGGAACAACACCATTTAGATTAGGTAAACTAAAATCATCAAATGTGATGGCTGTTGCACCCAGTTTGCAGACTACAAAAATTTAAAAATAAAATAAGTTCGTCATAGCACCGATTGAAAAATCATCTTCTTCTCGTGCAAAAACATGTTCAATTATCATTTGTCTTGAAATCGGCTATTATTCGGTTAGATAAACTTTGTCATTTAATTCGAACTACTTCTAGTTATAGGTAAGTTCAGATATAAAAGATATTCTAAGAAAAAAAATAAAAGGTGCTTTCTGGCAATAAAAAAAGTTCATACAAAATGGAGTCGCTTGCAGCTAACATGTCTATTTGAGCTTGCATAGATCCTAGAAGTATTTTGTTTATATCAGGTGAATACTATTCGATACTAATCTAATTAATTGAAGTTATGCTTGGATGAACAAATAATCGAATTTGTTAGATGTCTATTTCTTCGAAAATCAATGAATTTTTACATTTATTCACCAAATTAAGAGTCCATTCATCCTCAACTACGAATAATCAATATCATCAGAATTCAGGCAAATCGTTGAAGTAAGAAAAAAGTCACATATAAGATGACTACTTTGGGAAAGATTTCTATTTTTCGCTTAAATGACGAAGCTTTAGGATGATACCGCAGTTGTCTAATGTACTTCGACTAATTCGCTCTTTTTTTTTTATCAACACGTGGTCTACAACCAACAGGAAACATTTGAAATGTTGCTTATTTTTATTACCATCATTCTTTATGTTGAATTCGAATAAAACAGTTTCAGCGAAGAATAGTCAGTGTAAGTTAGAGCAATCTCTTTAAAATTTCTTGCATAAAAAAGTACGGTCTAAGTAATTAAAAGTTACATATCTGTAATCAGCATCGTGAACTTTATCTACTCATGTATAATTTAACGAAATCT